CAGGAGACTGTCTGCTGAGGGTTTGCTTCCTGGTCCCTGGGCGTCATCTTCTCGCTGTGTCCTCACATGGCAAGAGGGGCGGGGAGCCCTTCGGGACCTCTATACAAAGACACCAGTCCCAGTATGAGGCTCCGTTCTTCAAAGGCCCCACCTCCTCATGTCACTGCCTTGGGGGTTAGGCTTTGACATATGAATTTCGGGGCACACAAAGAGTCTAGAGCAGACACACACACAGAGACGACCATGTGGTGACACAGGGAGAAGGTGTCATCTACACGCCAAAGAGAGAGGCCTCAGAAGAAGCCAGCCCTGATCTCAGACTTCCAGTCTCCAGGACTATGAGAAAATAATGTTTTCTCGTTAAAGTCCCCAATCTGTGTCACTTTGTTCTCTGTTACAGCCACTCTGGCTGACTACTTAATACTCCTAGAATGTGGTGATGGGTTGACAGTCAGTGAGGCACCTGTGTACAGCCAGACCATCTGGATGGTGGCCGCCCTGCTGCCAGCTTTCCCATCTGTGAGACTACGTGGAGATGACAGAGAAACTCCCCACGAGAGCTGCCGAAACCTCTTCAGGAGCCCAATCAGCATAGGCCTCTCTATTATTTCCCCAGGGCTTTCCTTATAAAAGATTCTCATGCAACTCCAGTTTAATTCACTGCCTCCCTGGGGACTTTGCCCGTTAGCCATTCTCAGAGGTACTTAGGTATGGGCTCCTCCCTCAAGCCCTGTTTCAGTTTACCTCCTTCATGTGCCAACACCAACTGTGTGCTCCCTTCCCTGCTCCCTGAGCTGTCCCACTACTCTGCACCCAGAATCCTCTGCAGTTACAAGCTCCTGTCATTGTTATCTGTGTGTGAGCTCCTTATCACTAACAGAGGGGCTTGTGTTTTTCATGGTCTCATACATCACTGTGCTGAGCACAGGATGGGAAGGGGCATAAAATGTGTTAATGGTCTGGGCAGATAACCCCTCACACACAGCTTCCTAGGAAGCCTGGGAGGCAAAAGCAGAGGCAGGACTGAGGGCAGCAGCCTGCTGCTTGGTGGTCCAAGTGGGCAATTAGCCCAGGAGCCTCAGTGCATTGGGTGCTGCATGGTGCAGACAGTGGACCGCTTTCCTTCTAGCTGCAACCACCACAGTGGGGCATCCTTCTCTTTTGTGCAATATCGCCTGCAGGGAATACCTCCAGAAAATTGTGGGGCTCTAGGTTGTAGAGTGGGCATCACAAGGGCCTCACACAGCCTGTACCCTGGATACTCTTCCTGGCATCACAAGAAGGGTGGCTCCACACACACCCATGGTCCCAAGCCCTATGTGAGGAGAGCCCTGTGGGCTCTACTGCATCCACATCCTATTCTTTAGCGCTGAGAATGAACCTCACAGGTCACTGCTGCCTGTGTCCTTCATTTCCAGCCCATTCACCCTCAGTACCTGTTGTGGTTCCCAGGTGAGATAGATCTGATTGTACGTAGGACTTCACAGACTGTGATCTTTGAATTGTTATTCAAAAGCATTTTCCTTGATGGAGGGCAGTTAAGGGTTAGGACAGGAAATTGAGGATATCAGGAAAGACATATGTTTGGGGGATATGTGAGGATATGGGATGAGTGACAAAGGTGGGTTCACAACAATTGTCACAGATGCTGTCTCAGACTTCCTCTCAGATGTGCTTCTTGGGGTGATGAAAGAACCCATTAGAAGAATAGGTAGGTTTTTTGTTTGTTTGTTTGTTTGTTTGTTTGTTTGTTTGTTTATCTAAAGTAATCACACACATGCTTAAGGAAGTATCAGTTCTTTAATTCTGCAATATCTGGGGAGCGCTGGGAGGGAGCCTGATCTGAGGACACCAGGTTCCAGGTGTGTAGGCCATGGGATGGGCTTGGCAGGGCCTAAACAATCAAAGTAAGACCTTGAGCAGGATGAGAGCAGTCAGGAGTGAGGAGGCGACAGATAGCAGTGGGAGGCTCACCCCATGTGCGTTCACACAGTGGGTGTGGATTATTGTGCCATTCAACACATTCAAGTTCTTCAAGTTGCAGGCAGTTTCAGTCGCACAACCCTTGGCGAAAATGTCTACTCTACCACCATCTGCCAAGACAGAGATCCAAGGGTGAGTCTTCCTTCTCATCCTGTCTCCCACTCATAGCATCCTGCCCCACCTGCCTCCCTTGGGGGACAAGAGTTCCTGGGGGTCCAGAATTCCTAAGTCCTATCTTCTTCCAGAGAAACAATCACTGCAGCTTCAGCCCTGTCCAGGAACCAAGCCTTGTTTCTCTCTGGCCCCAGTTACTCTTCAGCTTAGGAGGGATCCCAAAGGGTCCTACTGTGTCAGATGCATGGTTGGGACTGGGGGCCCTGGCTCCTGACTCAAGGAGAGATGATTGACAGCAGGAAGAAGGTTAGAGGTCAGAATTTACGCACTCAGCTAAATGCCCAGTGGCTCCGGTTCTCTGTCCCACCCGTGCTTCCAGAGGGAAGCAGTGCAGGTCCCCCTGGTATCAGGTCCCTCCTCCCCAGGCTGCAAGTCCAATGCAGGTTCAGCACATGGCATCTCACTGCACACCTGTACTTCCCACGGCAAGTCAAGTCGGAGTGGACAGACCACCCTCCATATCCCTGCCTCTTCTGAACCTTAGTGACGCCCCCTGCTCCTCATTTGTCTCCACTCACCTTGGCCATTCACCTGACAACCCTCCAAAAGTCTCAAAAAGACAAGATGCAATCTGCCTTCATTCCCATCAAACTTTCTCTACCATCATTTAATCAGTGACTTAACACGACTAACTACATGAAACTTTTTACATGTTGATCGCAAACGGACCGATGGTGCCCACTGGCTCTGCAGCCTAGTGCTGTGGTCACACTCCCACTTTCTGTCAGATGATGCACACGTCCCTATCACAGACACACACTTCTCACTTACTCAGGAAAGTGGCAACACCTTTACAGATTTTAGAACGACACCTGCACAAATTAAGAGCTTAATCATGTGGTTTTGGAAATAGCAGTAATGGCAGCAATGATGAAAATCAGAACTGAGGTGTTTCCCTCTTGGTTGCCAATGAGCCAAGGTCCCATGTGCCCAAGTCTTCTACTCTGCGATGGGAAGCAGTTGTGCTCTTCTCTCCTCCACTCTCCTCCCTAACACAGGTCTCCCTCCAAACCTTGGGGGAATAATCAGCACTTGGCCCTGTATCACCCCTTGGTGCATGTGGTGGTCAACCTTCAAGGTGGCCCCTGTGGTACCCACTTCCTGGCACCCATACCCCTGTGTAGTCCCTCCCATGTATGTCAGGGCAACCAACAGGATACAGCAGACGTGATGATATGACATTTCTGAGATTAAATTACTAAAACTATATTTTCTGCCCCCTTCTCTCCCCCACCCCCATCTCTTTCTCTCTGTCTCTCTGTCTCTGTCTCTGTCTGTTCCCCTGTCTGGCTCCCCTTCCCCCAACTACTTGCTCTCCAGAAAGCCAGGTGATGTGCCATGAAGACACCTATGGAGTGACCCAGGTAGAGAGGGACCAAGCCAGCGAACACACCAGTGGTCTCGAAAGCAGGTCGTCTGTCCAAATGACCACAGCCTCTGCTGATAGCTATACTACAACTTCATGAGCAACTGTGGGCCAGAATCAGCCAGCTCAGCGGCTCCCAGATTCCTGACCCTCAGCGGATGGACATGTAAAGTAATTAATGCTGTTGTTTTAAGCTGCTGAGTTTGTCACAGCAATAGATAGCCAGCACACTGCAACGTTTCAAGTCCAATGCAGGTTCAGCACATGGCATCTCACTGCACACCTGTACTTCCCACGGCAAGTCAAGTCGGAGTGGACAGACCACCCTCCATATCCCTGCCTCTTCTGAACCTTAGTGACGCCCCCTGCTCCTCATTTGTCTCCACTCACCTTGGCCATTCACCTGACAACCCTCCAAAAGTCTCAAAAAGACAAGATGCAATCTGCCTTCATTCCCATCAAACTTTCTCTACCATCATTTAATCAGTGACTTAACACGACTAACTACATGAAACTTTTTACATGTTGATCGCAAACGGACCGATGGTGCCCACTGGCTCTGCAGCCTAGTGCTGTGGTCACACTCCCACTTTCTGTCAGATGATGCACACGTCCCTATCACAGACACACACTTCTCACTTACTCAGGAAAGTGGCAACACCTTTACAGATTTTAGAACGACACCTGCACAAATTAAGAGCTTAATCATGTGGTTTTGGAAATAGCAGTAATGGCAGCAATGATGAAAATCAGAACTGAGGTGTTTCCCTCTTGGTTGCCAATGAGCCAAGGTCCCATGTGCCCAAGTCTTCTACTCTGCGATGGGAAGCAGTTGTGCTCTTCTCTCCTCCACTCTCCTCCCTAACACAGGTCTCCCTCCAAACCTTGGGGGAATAATCAGCACTTGGCCCTGTATCACCCCTTGGTGCATGTGGTGGTCAACCTTCAAGGTGGCCCCTGTGGTACCCACTTCCTGGCACCCATACCCCTGTGTAGTCCCTCCCATGTATGTCAGGGCAACCAACAGGATACAGCAGACGTGATGATATGACATTTCTGAGATTAAATTACTAAAACTATATTTTCTGCCCCCTTCTCTCCCCCACCCCCATCTCTTTCTCTCTGTCTCTCTGTCTCTGTCTCTGTCTGTTCCCCTGTCTGGCTCCCCTTCCCCCAACTACTTGCTCTCCAGAAAGCCAGGTGATGTGCCATGAAGACACCTATGGAGTGACCCAGGTAGAGAGGGACCAAGCCAGCGAACACACCAGTGGTCTCGAAAGCAGGTCGTCTGTCCAAATGACCACAGCCTCTGCTGATAGCTATACTACAACTTCATGAGCAACTGTGGGCCAGAATCAGCCAGCTCAGCGGCTCCCAGATTCCTGACCCTCAGCGGATGGACATGTAAAGTAATTAATGCTGTTGTTTTAAGCTGCTGAGTTTGTCACAGCAATAGATAGCCAGCACACTGCACCGTTTAGAAGCTGAACAAGAAAGGCTTGGAAGTGTGCATACCTGTGCCTTCCACATGGACACACCTAGTCTCAGCACCGGTGCAATTGAGGAGAACTGCTTCACAGTGACTGTTGTTCTCCGCGTAGCAGGCAGGGCACTGGACGCCGTTGAGGACTGAGGACTTCTGAGGCACTGAGTGCAGAGGGAAAAACATCTTAAGGAGAATAAGGAACCAAGAGTATTATTAACTCCCACCTCCCAATTATCAAAACTTTACAAGGAGGGTGGCAACGTGGACAGGGAGTGGAGAGGCATTAACTAAGCAGATGCGGTGGCGGGGAACAGGGGAGGGATTATCCCCGCCCTGGACAGCCGCTTAGACTGCCCAGAAAAGGGGCTCTGATCCAGCAGGTACTTAGGGAAGGGGGTTGCATGGGTAAAGAAGGACAGTCTGAACCTGCAGACTGGCACCCAGCAGCCACTCAGTCCCCGGCAAGGCAAGGTTGTGCCGTCCGCTGGCAGGGAGGGTCCCCAGCAGGGAGGGTCCCCAGCGGCAAGGTCAGTCTCAAAGGTAACAGGCAGCCTCTCGAGAGGCGGAGGCGGCAGTTCGGTCAGGAGAGGCGGAAACTCTAGCTCACCTTGGAAGTCCCCGGTGTTACACAGCTCAGAGCTGCAGCATTGGTGGCCATACGCGAACATCATATTGGTCCCCAGTGTGGCTGAGAAGTTCAGCGGGACACACTGGCGTTCTGCACAGCCTTTCTCTTCTACAAACACCAAGGGCTGCCCTGCATGGAACAACCCAGAGAACGTTGGTTGGAGCCACAAGCAGCGACCCGCGCCGGCGGCCACTGGGAGGGTTCCGTGCCTCCCGTCCACGTGTCCACTCGTGTTTCCGCGTTGTCCACGGACGGACCAACAGAGGGTAGATAGCCAGCGTTTGTTACAATTGGGGCATCACCACTCTGGGTGCGGGGAAAGGGTTGGGCAGAACGGGTCCTCAGGATGCTACGCAGGAAACTAGTTGACTCGAGGAGCACAGGGAAGTGGTGCGGTCCCCTGCAGTGCGACAGCCCTGCTGGACCTGGCAGCATACCTGTCCAAAATAATTCTTGTCTGTAGCTGAAGCAGCTTTGAGAGGTCTCACATCCCATCTGTGTGCTAAAATGACATGTATTGAGAGCACACCTTGTGCATTTATAACTCTCTGTGGAAAGGAAATAAAAACTGCTCAAAAAGTAATTCAGGAATGAAACTCTCAAGAATCATAGCTGATGTTTCCAATAGCCAAACACTCTTGGAAGTCCAGGTGCCACGAAACTGCTCCCTGTGATGTGGAATGTGCCCATTCAGTCTCCAGTCCCTCTTGCGGAGTGGGGCGGGGGGGCCATAGGCTCTGACCCTGTGCTGACCCACCACCCACCCAGCACAGGCCCAGATGCTGACCAGGGGCCCCAACCCTGCAGCACCCACCGCAGCACTTGGAGCTGGACCTGCCTCCCATAAGTGGACATTCGTCTGCTGTGCGGTCTACCTTACCCTTCCAGCCTTTGGAAGGAAGGGGCCATGTGGTTGTTCTTACCCACAGAGCTGAAAGCCAAGGCAGCGAGCACGCAGGCAGCGAGGAGGCCCTTCGGAGCTAAGGAGGGTGGCATGGTGGCCCTACAGAGGCCTAGTGAGAGCAGAAGGTCAGGGCCAGCAGAGAGCAGTTGGGGAACAAGGACACACAGTGAGGATGGACCCCAGCCTTTGGGCCCCATCTCGTGATCTTCAGAGATAAGGCTAACAACTCACTCCCGGGGTTCTGCAGGGATTGGGGTTCCATGCAAGTGCCTGGCATGCAGTGAACGTCAGTGCCCAGGTGTCTAGAGCCAATCTCTCATTACCCCACCCCAGAGCCAGGTCCTGGGGACCCTCTTGCCTCTCTTTAGAGTCACCCTCACCCCTC